TGGGGGCAGACTCAGGACTGGGAGCAGGCAGGAGGGAAGTGCTGGCTGCCGGGCTGGGTGGGGAGCCAGGGCAGGGAGCCCTCACCTTGACGGAGCTGCCCAGAGGCAGGTGTCAGGTCAGCCCAGAGGGCGAGGAGCCCCAGGAGGAGGTGGCCTGATTTCATGGTGCTGCGGGGCCAGGTTGCCCAGCGCCGAGCTACCCCAGCTTATATAGCATCATGCCAGCCCGGCACTGCCGTCCCGGGAGGGGCCATTACACAAGAGAGCCGCCCCCGGTGTCTGCTCCTCCCAAAGGGAACAGGGAAGCAGCAGGGCCCTGCGAGAGTTGGGAAACGTCCCTGGTGAGGGAGCTGGAAATGTAATAACAGGCTGCAGAGGTGAGTTCATGTTTCCAGGCGGCTCCGCGCCCTGCCTGGGGCACCGGGACAAACAGCTGAGCCCAGAGCCACTGAGCACTGGGCTGCCCTGGAGCGAACTTCTCGTGAATCCCACCCAGTGCCGGCCCCGGGAGCCGTGCGGGACGGGACCCCTCAGCTCACGGCAAAGAGCTGGTTCCCCAGAGCCAGATCTGTCATTTTCCTAACACGCCTCCAGCCCTCCCTCTTCCCTTTGCTGCTTCCCGTGAGGAGCTGCTGGGCCCAGGCCTGCCACGCTGTAATTCCTAACGCTGGCCCACTGGCCTGGCAGCTCCCCATGGCCCAGAAAGCAGCACTCATGCGCCCGCTCCTCCCCAGAGCTGGCTGCAGGGACAGCTCCAGAACCGAACCCTGCCCCTCGCACGCTGCCCCCGTGGGCTGGGGGCTAAGGGAGGGGTCGGTACGTCCTTCTCGCTCTCCCCCCGGGTCTCTGATGCTCCTTCGGGGGGCAGGGATAAGGCACCCCCCAAAGGCCTGGGCTATCCGTGTGTGTGTCGTGTGCTCTGGATCCCACCCCGTCCATCTCTATTCCCCCGCCCCGCCCCGCCCCGCGGGTTCCCTCAGCTGATGTCTAACGATGGGGGCTGAATGTCTCTGCGGTGCTGACCCTTGTCTCTGGGATGTGACTGGAGGAGGGTGCGTGGGGAGGTCGTGGGGCTCCCACCCTGTGCCTGGGGCCCCTGGACTCCCAAGCCGCTCACGCGCCCGGCCCCGGCCCCGGCCCCAGCCCCACTCACACCCTGCCTCCAGCTCAGCTCCCTGGGCTCCTCCTCTGGCCCTGCTCCCAGCCCAGTCGGGCTCCTGCTCTCCCCTTAGCTCTGCCCCTCCGGCCCGGCAGCTCCACCTCACACCGGACCCCACGCTCCTCACTCCCTCATTGCCCTGGCTGCCCTGTCAATCAGACTGACCTGAAGGATTGGTCTATCCCCATTGGCCCTGGGGACTGTCAGTCTCAGAGTCCTGATTTCCCATTGGCCGTCCCCCTTTCTTTTGGTACTGGGAGAGGGGAACAAACCCCTCCCCCCCGAGTTTCAGTGGGGGCCAGCAGCCCCCTGACACCAAGATGCTGCAGGCGGGTGTTTGACTTACTGCTGGCAGTGTGACGAAGTGGGGGGGTTTTCTTGTTTTCTGTGGAGTTTCAATGGTTTGCATGCAGAGGGGGTGGGACTCAGTTTCCCTGGGTGTTACTGGTTTAACGAGGGGAGGGGAGAGGGAGTGTGTTTTGCAGAGGGCCGGAGAGAGGACGTGGGGACCCAGCCGATGGCCGGGAGGATGGATACCCCAGTGACCTGGTGACCCAGAGGCCCAGCTGAGGAGACGCAGCCGGTTCTGGCCAGTGGGAGGACAATGGGCTGCAGAGTGAGGAGCCAGTGACCTGACCAGCCGGTTCCAGCCAGAGGACAGAAGCAGGAGAGGAGGCCCCGATTTACGACCCTGTTTACCTGGAGAGAAGACAATGGACAGAGGCGGGGGCTGGGGCCGGGGATCTCAGATGCCCAGCTGCGAGCAGGGGGGCTCGGGGCTTGAGAGGGGAAGCAGGCAGAGCCCACCTGGATGCAGGGAGACCGGGATGTGCTGGGCTGAGGGAGGCCAGGCCTGAGGCCCTGAGAGTTTCCTGGGCTGTGTTCAACTCTCAATAAACCCTCCTGTTTCATGCTGGCTGAGAGTCACTTCGGTCTAGAGAACAGGGTTGCATCTACCCCTTCGGGGGCGGAGGCCCCGGGGGTCCAGAGCGAGTGGACTCCGAGGGGGCCCACGGCAGAGACAGATGTGCTAAGGCTCAGAGAGATGCGGCTCCAGGAGGTGGAGGGGCCTGACCCCGAGAGAGAGTGGACCCCCGAGAAGGGCTGTCGCACTGAAAGGGGCACCCCCCACGGACCGCACGGGGCCAAGAGTGGGCACGATCTGTGAGTCCGTGACAGGCAGCGTTTCCCCAAATTACCGCTTGGTTTTCTCCTTTTATAAAAGCTTCTTTTGTGAGACACGGACTCGGTCCCTGGCAGTGGGGTAGGGCCCCCGGGGTGATTTATCACCTCCCAGAGAGGCGACTCCATCGGAGCCAGGGCACCCCCCAGCGCTCCTTTAACATGCTGGGGCAGTTTGAACACAAGCCTGCCACGAGCCCCTGCAGCAGGGCCCTGCAGCCTGTGTGTGCATGTTCCCTGCCTGTCTGCATCGGGGACACCCTGGCTCCCTAGGCACATTGCCGTGGGCAGGCGTCCCACTGCTGCAATACACGGGGCATGCCTTGATTCAAGGGTCGGGGCATTTCTGAAATCCTCACGTCCGGAGGCAGGGAACAGCCTGGAGGCTGGAGCGGGAGTTTGCCGGAAGGTGGCTGCTGCTTCGGCTTTCTGGACACCAGGATCCTGAGGCAAAGGCAACCTGGGCCCGTGGGCGCTCGCCCGGGGTTAGAGAGGAAATGCCCAGCACCCATGGCAACTGTGTGAGCCATTTCTCCATGGCACGTGTGACCCTTCTGCCAGGTGGAGCCGGCAGCAACCAGGGCCGGGTTCAATATCTAGGGGATCCTCTTTAACAATACGACACAGAACCAGCTCGAGCCCCCCCACAGTAACCTGGGAAAATTACACACCACCCTGGGCACTTCTGCGAGGCCATACTTCCCCTCTCACAAGCACAGCGTCTGAGTGTAGGAAAGAAACTTGTAATGAAAGGAGAGTGCATGGGGCAGCGCCTTCCGCCTTGTGTTCTTAAGTTCTACAGCCAACAGTTCCTTTTCTGTGCCCCTCTCAGTCCCCTCACCGCACCCCACTCCCAGGGGGTGTCCTTGGTCAGCGGGGACCCCGGGTCCAGAGGCGCAGCTGTGTGAGTTCCCCTCCCACCCGGGGAAGAAGGCACCTGGCTTGCTCTGCCAGCCCGCCCCGCCAGCCACGGTCCCTCTCTTCTGGCTGCCGTGCCAGCCGCTCATTCCACTCCCACCAGCCGCCTGTTTGCTGCTTCTGCAGGCTGACTGTTCGCTGTTCCCGCCAGCTGACTGTCCGTTATCTACTGTTGCCACCTCTCTGCTGTGACCTCTGCAGGTCAGTCTCTTAGTGAGTTTCAGCTTTTAGCAGGCTGGGCAGAAACACCATCCCACCACCAGTGAGTTCAGCTCTCATTGCTGCCAAATGGCCGGACGTGCCGCCCTCCTCTTCATTGGTCACCCCAGGCACCTGCTTGTTACCCTGGTGCCCAGAGCCGGCCCCGTTTCTGGAGCCCAGGGACTATGCGGCAGCTCAGGCTCTAGTGACGCTGCCCAGTGCCTGACACCCCCAGGAGACCCCGTTTCTCCAGGGACATTAGCCTGGGGCACAGGCTCCAGCTGCAGGGGGGTTGTCCCGGGCGGACATGCAGGGACAGTGAGGCCCAATCCAGGAAATCACAGAGAGACCAGCTGAGCTGAGCTCTTTATTACACAACCCACGTGCTGGGCGAGATCAGGCCCACGGGCGATTGGGGGTGGGTGTCAGGTGGGGACCGTATTGGGGGATCCTGTCCCATCCCCCCACAGGCCCCTGCTGTCACGCTCTGGCTCTTCCCGGTCTCGCTCTCATCGGCCCTGTGGAAAAAGGGGCAGTCGGTCAGGCCAGGGGCTGGTCCTGAGGCTGGGGGGCAGGGAGGGAGGTGACAGGCGCAATCCTGGACTGCCTCATGCACGGGGGTTGGGCACAGAGATCCCGGCACGCAGGGGCCCCCTCGGGGTCAGGTGCAGGCAGAGCGGTTCTGCCTTGCACGGCCTTGAGGAGGGGGTCAGGGGCACGGCTGATGCAGCTGCACCCAGCCCCTCCCGGGCAGTCGCCGGCCTTGCAGCAGGGCTAAGTGCACGGGGCTGGGTGACCTCGGGAGCTGCCACTGGACAAACTCCATGGCACAGAGCAGCCCCGGGGAGGAGGCAGGAGACCCAGCCGGCCAGGCCAGCAGCGCTGATATCACCCCAGAGCAGTCCTCTCCCCATCTCCACGCCAACCTCCCGCAGCCCTTCGCCTCCTCCCCAGAGAGCTGGGAGCTCCGTGGGGGAGAGGGCAATGTGCGCTCCCAGTTTCCGTCCAGACTCCAGGCCTGGGGGGAGCCGGGTCACTCGGAGCAGGTCTGTGATGCTGGGGCCCTGGCCCTGTCTGTATGACCCCGATTCCTCCCAGCGCTCAGAGATTGGGGCAGGGAGCCCTGGTGCCTGGTGATCAGAACGGCCCCGTGCAGCGGGAGGCAGGGCTCGCTCTGCAGAGCCCGAGCACTACGCTGAACCTCACCCGCTGTGGGGTTTGGCAAGTCCGGCCACACCCATTACTGCAGCACTTTTCTGCTCCAGCACAGTCGTCATCATCGTTGCATCCCAGAATGCAGAGCCCTCCGGTTGGCTTGGGGCAGAACCCAGGTTTCTCTGGAAGACAGAATGTCCCACGGCAGTGAGACGCCTGGCTGATAAATCCCAACAGCTCCATGTGGGGCTGAGTGGGGCCCTCAGAGGAATGGACCAGCCCTGCAGACAGCAGTGAGAGATTAGATATCAGATGGAAAACTGCCCCCATGCCTGCACTCAGGGCACCTCTGGCCTCCTGCCCTTGAGCTAGGGGTCCCCGTCAAGTCCCTGTCCAGTCCCAGTCTCACCGCGAGCTTAGCGTAGGGAGGGGTGTCCTTCCAGGAGAGAAACCTCCATTTCCAGCTTCAGCCACGCTCTCCAGGGCCAAGCCCCTGCGCAGCTCTAGGGGTTAGGAGAGGAATTCTGTCCAAGGGATTCCAGCGAGGGAAGGTTGGATAAACACAGCACTAAGGGATGCAAACGGAGGGGCCGAGGGGCAGGACAGCCCACAGGAACGAACATCTC